TCCAAAAACTTTCAGCGCTTGATTTATCTTCAGCTCGACGTGAGCTTTCCATGTCAGCTTCGTATTTAGAGATATTTCATATCCACGGTAAGAGTTGGGTTTACGCCTCTTAGCACTGGAAGGTTGGGACCTTCTTTTCCGCGTAAACGAGACTAGGGTTGTCTTGCTGGGATTGACTGCAAGACCCTGCAGAATGCACCATTCATCAGTCTTACTCAGGGTTCTCTGTGTCTTAACACAAACCTCCCTGGGAGATTTACCTGATCACCGTGCACAAACATCATCCGCGTTAGTTTGCATGTGAACGAAGTCTGGCATTTCCAATAGTAGGGAGTCGACTACCAAACACCACAAGTCGGGTGTCTGGACGCAAAGCACGTAGAGTCAAAAGCGGTGTTGTCAAACGCCTCCTCAATATCAACAAAGACTCCCATTGTCCACTCACCTGCTTCCAGGGCTATTCGCCAAAATCCTTGATCTAATGTACTTATCGACCGTGAGCTCAAGACTTTTCAGCATGAAGGATGTCAGGCTGATGGGCCTGAAGCTTCTGCAAGCGCATAGTCTTTGCCTGGTTTGGGAATGAATACTACCCTGATTTTTGTCCAAAGAGTGGGAACGTGGCCAAATGCCAGAGAGGTCCTAAGCGCTCTTATAGAGCCCACATAAGCCTGCCTCCCCCACACTTTAGCATATCATACCGCTATTATCATACCGATTTGATTCAAATTGATCGAACGGCTATCGAGGTACACATATCGTCGTCTAAAGTACAAAACCGCGCATCGTCATTCTGCAAAACCGCGTAACTGACATTGGCTGCCAAAAATTGGGTTTGCTCACACAAGCTCTTGGCTCCATCCTTATCCATTCGTCCTGAAATATACTTGCCAGAAATGCGATTGCTTTATAAAAAAAAAGAAAACCATTTTGAAATATGGGCGATTTTACGCTACGCCCATTTTACAAAAATTTATAATATTCTTATTTTCCGCCTAAAGATCATTGTAAATATGAATTTTAAGTAAAAACGTTTCAGTAGTTACTAAAATATCTCATTTGATATCTTTAAAAAAATCAGTTTCTTAAGAATTTCAGGATTTTCAAAATCGTTGCAGGATTTTGTATAAAAAAAAATTAACGAAACATTTTTATAAGTTTTAAGTTAATTAAAACTTTTTTTTTAATTTTGATTTTTCTTTTATATATTTTCTTTGTAGCTCTTTCTTTCTGTTTCTTTGTATACTCGAATAACTTTTGAAACGAGTTCAGAACCATTTTCGTAACTATAAATTGTGAAATTTTTGGAATTTTGCATAACGTTCGGTTTTTTGATGAAATTGTTCCAAAACTAGAAATCTCTAGGAAATTTCAGGCCCTTCTTGAAGATCGAGCTCTCAGGAATGCAGGGAAGCTATAACCAGCCAAATGTGAAGATCTGGTACACAGATGGATCCAAGCCGGGAAAATGGGAAAACTGGGGCTGACATATTTGGGCCGAATTTTAAAAAATATACACCAATGGGTAGCCCCGCCACCAAAGCGGAGATTCGTGCAATAGAAATCTGCGGAACGACTTTCCGACCTATAAGTTTCACCTCTTTTTTTATGTTGAAGGTAATGGTGAATATAGAAAAAAATCAGAGTAAAGGTATGCCTTCAAGGAGGGGTTCCATATCCTCTTCTGTGTACCTTAGTAGTAGATGAACTCCTTCAGCTTCCCCCTGACAATGGTATCCGCTGTTCAGTCGCCAGCGAAGTGAATAATTTGGGACTAATCGTAGAGATCATACTTCTGTGGAAGACACATGTGGATGCGACCACCTCTAGGGCCACGAAAGCTTTAATGATGTAGAAATATCTGGCAGGAAAGTCCTAATGAGCTACTGTCTTCCCGAGGTAAGAGTAGCAGACTACAGTAAATAACACAGTCGCTCACCAAGCTACAACTGAAAGTAGTCCTCGAGTCCGAGCTTCTTTATATAAACATAAATTTGGTATCCAAAAGAGCTCTAATGAGCTTTGGTAGATAAGGATTTGGGAAAGGACAGGTTGGCTTTGCCACATGGCGCTCAATGTTGTCTTATCATATTATATAAAATCACCGTTAGTTATTGAGTGCATTGAGCAACTTCATTGGTAGGAACAACAACACCCAGTTAGCATGGGTACCTGGCCACAAGAGAATAGAGGGTAATGAGACAGCGGACTGTCTCGCAAGAGATAAAGCAGCCATCACTCAATTGGCGCCGAGCCCTTCCTAGTCGTATGTCCCAATACTATCAAGGAGGTACCTAGGACGAAGAGAAACGTATTGGGGGGCCTTAACTGGCACGGCTCGGTAGAACTACGCCATGCAAAGACTTTTTGGTATAACAGGGAAAAGATTTCCGCACCTAATTAGCGTCCCAAAAGACGTAGACCCCCAAACTGTATTTTCTCTGATACCTTTCCTTTCCGGCTTTGATAAATTTTGCAATACCTAAATCTCGACAGTAGGGGTATTCCCTTAAACTAGAAAATTGTCGAAAGCCGCAGAACTCTGTGTGGAATGTTCAAATTCAAGATAAAAACGCTTAAATAAGAAATGTACTCGTTTCGTAGTTTTCTCTCCTAGAGAACCTCGAAACTAACGTAAATGATTTTTTTTTTGTGCAGCAATACTCCTGTAGCAGCTGGATGCATTTCCGCATCAAAAAAGAAAAATTTTAATATCTGTTTTTATTTACAGTCGAGGGTATTTTTTTGACATTGTAAAAATTGTATATTAATTAACACAAATCTCCAGCGTACAGATATTCTCAAAAAACAATCTTACGAGTATAAACAAAGTTAATTTTCAGCTGAATTAACATAATTAATATTCAGTTAAAACTGTCCTACAAAGGCAGGAGCAACAGCGTTAATGAGACGACGGAATTTTACGCACGTGACAATATTTTTTGCTACGCAGAGTACAAAAGAAGAAAGAAAACAAGCACAAAAAAAAGAAAATACATATAAAATAAACGAAACAAAAGTGGGGAAAAAGCGAGGAAAAATTAAAACTAAGAAGGAAACTAATAAAAAGAGTAGTTTAAACTACGTTGAGAAAGACAGGCAAAATATAAACAATAAAAAATCGGCAATTAAATAAAATTAACTGCAAAATCGTTTAAACAGAATGACAAAATCGAGCGAGAGATGAGCCTTAGGAGAGCATAAGAAATAGAGTGGCAAAGAGTTATAGCAGCAGCAGCGCACAGTGGGCAATTAATTGAATTTAATGTTCATAATTCACTGGAGCCTTCATTTCTTAACCAATTCGATTAGATATTATTTTTTTAATGAAAGCTAATAAAATTTGCAAGAGACTAGTTGAGCCCAATTATTGATTTTTTATTTGTTTCTATTAAATTTTTTAGTGCAAAGTGCAGAAAAAGTGCCAATTTTGAAGAAGATCGATTCTCCTGTTCCAGTTAATAAATGTTACATAATAAAAGCTAGTCGAAAACAATTGTAGGGTTCTCACAAAATGAAAGAAAAATAAAAATAAATTAATTTTAAATGTGATAAAAAATTTTTACCAACGTTTTTTTTGTGTTTGGTTTCTATTTAAATTTTGGGTATGCAGTTTTATAGACCAATAAATTTTAGTATAGCAAAGTGCAAATTGCAAGAGGCTGAGGGTTCGCGTTGATTTTTAATAATACAACAAACGCTTTTATTTCCCATTTAGCATGATGATGTGCTCGAAATTTTAGCAAAAAAATTATTAAAAATCAACGCGAACTCTTAGCCACTTGCAACTTGCACTAAAATTGAATGATCTATAAAACTGAATACCCAAAATTTGTGTAAAAACCAAAACCAAAAAAAACTTTGGTAACAATTTTTTAGAACATTTCAAATTATAATTTTTTTATTTTTTTCCCGTTTTGGGAGAACCACACAATTCTTTTCAACTAGTTTTTATTATGTAACATTTCTTAACTGGAGCAGGAGAATCAATCTTCTTCAAAATTTGCACTTTTTCTCCATTTTGCACTAAAAAATTTGATATAAACAAATAAAAAATCAAAAATTGGGCTCAAATAGTCTCTTGCAAATTTTATTAGCTTTTATTAAAAACAAAAAAATAAAATAAAAAACAAATTTCTTGAGAAATGAAGGCTCCAGTGAATTATGAACATTTATTGACCACTGTGCAGCGGTGTGAGCAAGCGCCTTAAAGGCCCAATGAGAAAACGTCAAAGCCGTTAATTTGCAATGAGACAAGCAAGAAAAAAAAAATGCGATCAAATCAGATGAGCAGCGAATAAGTACAAAACTCTTACTCGATATTGCGAGATATACAAATATTCACACACAAATTGAAGCTAATTAATGCTAGCACTTTTCGTAATCAAACCAGACACATACGAGTACGAGTACCAACAATATCAAATAGAAGTGCTAAATAACTTGAAAATACTTTGCAGTACTTTAGTAATTCCAACGCAAATGTGAAGTTATGTACTTTGAGTAGCATTGCTTACAGCCTATGACATTTCGCTATTAAACGGTGAACACAACGGATCATAAGATCAATCAACGTTTGACCGATCAATCAGTGACAGCAACGGCAATCTTCATACTAAATAAGTACATACTTATAAAAGGGATTAACAGCAATGCGTTCGGATATTTATCACATCGTAAGTGAACGTGGATGGCTAAAAATGTTAAAAAAAAAAAAAAATACAAAAACTGCGTGATTGTTAAAAAATAGAACTAGGTTTTTCAGATTTTTTGCAAGTGAAAGAACTCATAAATTTGCTGCAATGAAAAAAAAAAAAGAATTTTGTGAACTGTGCACGATTTTGGTATTCATGACGCGTCACGCTAAACGGTTAAAATACATACATACATACTTACATTCGTTGGAGTAATTTGAGTTAGTTTCGAATAGATTACGAAAAAAAAATTCCAAAAAATTATTCGGCTTTATTTTAACTTTTACCACGTTCTGTGTCTTACAGAATCCCAAAAGTATGAATGAACGCGCCGAAACGGTGCCAGATGTCCTGGTCAATGGCCAAGTGAATGGCACTGTCGTATTATCAACAGCAGCACCAGCAAGCGATGGGCATGCTGGCGTACCCACACTCAACAAGAGCAATAGTCTTGCAAGTGTTAATCATAGCAATACAGGCATTTCAGTGCCGATACCAATGGCGCCCAATCAGGTCAATCATTTTGGCAATGGTGGCTCTTTCAAGAATACCATCGTTATCGATAGTCAACCGAAACGTAAGGTTAGCATTGCCTCTGAGCCGGCGAGCGAGGTGCGTAGCACAGGTGCTTACGACAATCCAGTATTTGAACAAAATCCACAACGTAAAATATCACAGGTGAGTGTAAATTTTTTTATTTAACAATCTGTCGAACTAACTACCTTAAATACATTAATACACGAAAAGATTTATAATCATATAAATTAGCTAATAAAATTCCATAGTCCAATGCTAAGTCAATATGCCGTCAACACGCTAATAAGCATTTTATTCGGTCCACTGTGTTGTTGTTGGGCGCGCGGGAATGTCCAAATATGATTAGCGGCTATTTTTTGTTGGTTGCAAATCACTTGGCAAACATTGTAAATCAAAGCTTCACTAACGAAAAGATTAGCTGTTATTACTTTATTATAGATTTGGATTTTTTTTGTGTACCTACTCATTCGTGGTGTTAGATAAGCTGCTATAGCTTCGCACTAACTGTGAATTTAGTAAACCACGTGACGGAGGTAGGGACGGAGGAATGGCCCCGTCAGAATGGGTACTTTGCGTACGTTCCGCTCAAGGATGAAACTGACAGTTGAGTAGACTGTGTGTATTTGCATAGAGAGCGTCAGATTGGCAACCCTTGCGTCGACGGACCCAACGAACGTTGGCCAACACTCAACTTTTGACGCCCGTAAGTCCGTCACTGCTGATAGTTGTATAACCCCGCGTTTACACAAGACAAGACCAATGAGAATATGCACTTAATTTACGCATTGTTTGAGTAAAGTAGGCATCCAGACAATAAACTCTCTTCGAACAGCCAGAGACAGTGATGAATACATCAAGAGAAGTGGGAATAAATTAGTAAAGAAATGTCAATGTTTTGCTATTGTATCTGAAAAATTGACTTGTGTAAACCCCAAGTACACGGCGATAAGGAACAGCTGATTTTTATTTGCAGACGCAACACCTTCATTGTGGCGTATCTCCACGGTACGTACGCCACTTCCTTCGCATACTTTTCCGTTATTGACATACAAGTACCCATTCTGACGGGCCTAGAAGGTAGCGTGCTCGTAGTGGAATCTTGACCCTGGAGTTTCCATTCTTCTTTAGAGTGTTTTCCTTGACGACGATTTTATAGGCAATTTTAGAGGCGATTAGTTGGTTCAAAAGTTGACTGCCCGCCAACTTCATTGGAGGCGATTATTAGAAAGACCGTTCACACCAGGCGATTGTTGCTTTAAAAAAAAAAAAGTTGCCCGTAAAATCGCCTGATGTAACACCGTATAAATACGATTTTTTTTATTCCCTTAGAGACTTTGAAGAGAGTGAACAACATAGAATAAAAAAACTGAGTGTATGTAGTTCCTACGCGTAGAAGAAGTGTGTTTTTTATGACTAGCTTTATTTTTAACCGACTTCAAAACGGGAGAAGGTTATCAATTTCTCGGAATATTTTTTTTTTGTTTTTATGTATGTTACCGCATAACTTTGGACCAAGTTAACCGATTACTATAATTATTTTTTTTTTTAGAGGAAAGGCGTTACGCCAGGGGTGGTCCTATACTAATTTGGTTTAGATCATGGTCATGAAGAGATTAAAGATAATCTTAAATTTTTATATGAGAATTGAATTGAATTTCTATTTTTTATAACAAACTACTTAATTTTCTTACATTTAATTATTTGAAAATTAGCTAAGTTTTAACCTTAATCTCAATTTTTTTTTTTTGCAAAAACAGAAGTACATACTTCTTTGTATTTATATCAGACTAGGAGTGCCAATTACTGTCGGAATTCGACCGTTTCTCTATTTTTTAAGACTCTTGGAGAGGTTTTCTAACTTGGCACATCGTTTAACTTTTAAGGTACAAAATTACTTACCGAGAAATCTCCTGCTTTGGAACTGAAAAGTGATTAATATTTTTTAAATAATTTAAATTTTTAAAATTCGATAACTTGACTAATTTCGATAATTCAAACATTTATATATCTGATAAATAAAGGTACATGGATAACTTGATAAACTTTGAATAATAAATTTCGATAACGTGGTTAGTTTTAATTGATACATATTTTTCAGGAGCTATCGACAAATTTCGATAACTCTTTACACTCCAGTAACACGCTAAAATTCGATAAGCAGTGATAACTCGATAAACGTATATAACCTTTAAATTTCGATAACTCGATAAGTTTTGAAAATACCATAAAACTTTGAATCGATAAACCGACAAATTTCGATAACAACCAAAAAAGTTCGATGAAGCAATAAACAACGATAACTCGAAAATTTTAAAGAACTCTGTACATTACAGCAACTCGATAAATTTCGTTAACTCGATAAATTTCGATAAATAATAATAATGCTCGATAAATATTGATTATTCAATAAGTATCTAAAAAATAATCATTAACTTGATAAATTTTCGATAAACCGATACATTTTTATAACTCGATAATTATCGGTACATTTTGACAACTAAGTTTCTGCGTCTCGATAAATTTCGATAACTCAATTAACATTGATCAATTTCAATACGATCCGATAAATTTCAATGTCTATTAACTACGGTGATAGGAAACTTGATGGCTTTCGATAAATAAATTTCTGATGACTGTATACATTTCGATTCTTATCGAAATATTACAATGCATTGCTTACCCTTTCGGTTACCTTAATTCCTATGTTCATATGTTATTTATGTATTCTCATTGTTTTCATCTTCAAATTTTACCTTCGTCATTTTTTTCTTCATCTTCACATTTATTCTTATTACAAAGTTGCATTTCAAATCCGAAGTAAAACAAAATGCAAAAACAACTCAAATTAAACAAGTTGCAACAACAATTATACATAAATACAAACATTTTAAACTACGATTTTGGCCGAACCATAAAAACTCTCCTCATCTACAGAAAAATCCCCTTGCAAAAGTGTTCATGAAATCGGTTCGGTAGAATCGCCAAACGAAGGCTAAAAAAAAAATTATGTTAGCGTATTAATATATACCACATATGGTTCTCATTCTAATTTTTTCTAAATTATATTTCAGACTTCTACACATTCTCATACGGAAATTGGACCTACTCGAAAAAAGAGTATTCTGGTTAATTCAACAGCCAGTGCAACACCATTACCACTACCAATTGGACATGACAATGAATCAGATCGAGGATCTTTACACAGTTATGGTGAGTGTTGGCGCAGAGTCATTTGTCATTAACGAAATAATACAATTAGCGTTTTTGTTTTGCGAAATATTGTTTACATTTATATTGCTTGGTGCTAATTTTTTGCAAATCCTTACTTCACGTGAAGGTCTAAAATCCAGATTTTTGGAAAAAAAAATATAAAAAAGAAAATAGCATTTCATAAATCATTTGCCATTATTCACTGTTGGGATCAGTGATCTGCCAGCAAGCCACTTGATGAATTCTCTGCGAACTCAAGTTACTAAATTCAATTAAGTACATTTGCGTTGGGGTCAGTGACATTCGTGTTTTTCAAATTACGTTATTGTGAACGAAATGATCTCCACTTTTTTACAGAATTCAGTAGTTCAATAAGCCACATGGGCATTGCGAATAATTAACTCTTTCTTTCTTGTTACTTACATATGTATGTACATTAGACTGCATCACCAAAAAAAACTGCAGTTTTTCCGCCGGGATTGCAAAATTGGTTATATTTTAAGAAGCCCACCAAAATATTTCGGAAAAATATTAAGAAGAAAACACCTCCAAAAATGGAGTTTTTTATGAATAAAAATGGTTTCTTAAAAAACTTTTTGAAAAAAGTCCCCTCAGATGACAAAACAGATTAAGCTTAAAAAATCTGCATAAAAATATTTAAAAATCTTTTCAACGGAATCGTAAGAACGAGATTTTTGATGCTGTTTTTTTACTTTTTTCAAAGATTGATTTACGAAAACCTTGAATAACTGGGCCAAAACTATTCTGATTTAGACTTAAGGGATCTCAGTGGAAAGGTATTTTCACACTGTTTTTATTTCTGTCCAAAAAACAGTCATTCGTATCCCAATTTTTTATTTTTCAAATACCAACACATCTTAATTCAACTTTGAATAACGTTCGTTCATCCTACCTTTCTCTGTCATCCTTTGAAGGAGTTTATTAGCAAAGAAATAAAAACGATGAGAAAAAACCTTTCCAATGATACCTCTTAAGTCTAAATCGGAAGAGTTTAGGCTGTGTTATTAAAGTTTTTCTTATACGAATCTTTGAAAAAAGTTCAAAAACAGCATCAAAAATCTCATTATTACGATTCCGTTAAAATTTTTATTAAATATTTTTATGCAATTTTTTTAAGCTAAAACCGTTTTGACATTTGAGGGTTTTTTTTTCAAAAAAAACTTTTAAATTATTTTTATTCATATAAAATTCCATTTTTAGAGGTATTTTCAAATCGGTCCAGCTCACTTAAAACTTAATATTTTTCAGAAATATTTTGGTAGACGTCTTAAAATATAAAAAATTTTATAATTCCAATGGAAAAATAGCACCGATTTTTTTTTGTATAGGGAGTGATGCAGTCTAATGTACATATGTACAATAGGGCGGGTCGAAAATCTAATTTTTCTCAGATCCCTTGGTAATAGTGAAAATATATTGTATCATGAAGTCAACAACAAGCCTGCAAAATATTAGTATTTTATTTTAGTTGTAAGAGCCCGCGCATCGACCGCAAAGTGACCCACAGCACACTAGTCGAATAAGACCAATTCTTGTTAAAAATTCTGGGATCGGCAAAATGGTTTGGTGCATATTATTAGATAATGAATCCGTTTAAACAAAAGATAAAGTCAAATTTCATTTCTCGCAGCCCTTTAGCTTATCGTTAATCTCAAGATTATCTGCTTTCAATAAAATTTGAATTGTTCTCTTGATAATTGCACTGGATTATACTCAAAAGATGTAAAGAACAGAATTGCTGGCGTGCTGGCATGTCGCTGGTTCCAAATATTCTAATCTTTTTTTAATATTAGCTATAGTTTGCGAATTTTTGCAAATATAGGGACAATTTCGGTAACTCTAATAGAAAAGCCATTATTTTCCATCATCGTGGAAAAATTTTGTTTATGCAAATGGGTCTGGAAACATTGGACAGGCACAACCTCTAGAAACACTAATTGGTTTGCTTATATTTATGCATACAATATAAAAATTGCAAATATAAGAAAATAACACAAAACTTTGTTCAAAATTTTTTTTTGTTTTAAAATAATTTGTTTATAATCTGAGCGATTTTAATCATATTATTATCAAAAATCGGTAGCATTAAGTCTCGCCTTCAATTTGGTAATTATTAAGTACCGATCGAGTAACATTTACCAAAGTTATATGGAAAAATTTAAGTGGATCTCCAGCTTTTTTCTAAAAAAATTTCTCTTAAATTGTATAAATAACTTTTAAATGAAAGAGCCGGATTACGGAAAAGGGTGTTAGGGAGTGACTTGTTTCGTTCAAGCTAAATGCAAAGCAATATCGTCCAATTGGAGAGTCCTCAAAAGGATTTCCCAGGATATGTTAAATACTATTGCATTTACCTACAGTCACTTTTTCACATCATGGAATTAACTAAAATATTTATGTATATCTAAACACTTATTGCACGTCCTCTACTTTCATATAACGGCAGAATTAGAGACCGCGAACAATTTTCAAGACTGCATAAATGGACTTAAAATGGGCGTTTCTCACCCTAATTGTATTATGTTAATGTATATAAATACTTATATACTTGAAACTACTATTAACTTATCAAACGATTCGTAATCTTTGACAATACATGTTTGACTTCATTCACCACAATCTTGAAAACTGACCAAATCGGCCCATGGCCCACTTAATATTATATAAACATCCGAAAACATTAGAACGTTTGAAATATATCTTGCCTCACTTTTTTGAATTTTTCACTTGGTTGCTGAAGCAATGAAGAATTGAAAATTCATAAAGGAAAATTATAGTTTTTGTGAGTTTTATCTTAATACCTTAAAAACGTGTAGACTTATTGAAAAATGATAACTGAACGTGAGATACTAAATTTAATAACCCTTAATTTGATATATCGTCCTATTTATAACAATTAACGCATACCATAGATATTACAAGCCAAAGTTAAATTTTAAAAATTCATACACTTTGATTCAATTGCGCGGGCTAAAGATAACTTTTAAATTAATCTTTCGTGGCCAATAACAATTGGCTTAGAGCTAAGACATGATAATATTACTATTACAATACGGTCAAATGCCTTTTATTTTCCCCCATACAAAATCGACCCAGCCTAATGTACACAAATATTTATATCGTCGCTTGGCGCGCAATATCTCGTTTCCTCCAAATGTAATACCACGTATGACGTGGCACAGAAAAAAAATAGTTTTGGTTACCTCGTCTCAATGGGTGCCTACTCCTTAAATTTAATGGTGAGTAAATATAGTAGAAGCCCCTATTTAGTAAGTTCTATGAAATTAAATTTTGTTTGCTATTTCGGGAAATTTTGCATTTGGCGGATTATTTGCTCACTTGTGTGCTTGGTTGCGGACATTTTGCAACTCCCGTCTTTTCTTCCATGCGGTTCCATGTTGTTGTGTTTCTCTCTCTGGGCGAGCAACTGAGAAAAGTTCCGAACGCTTTTGACTTGCGTACTCAACTTCAACTTTAGTTCAGAACTAAAACAATGAATCCGCCTTTAAAAGCTCCAGTGTTGGCCCGCTAGGAAAATATGATAGCCAGGGCTGGCAAAAATATGCCGGAAAAACCTGAAAGTATGCGCTATAAAAGATTTGATTAATGACCAAAATGTACTCTTAAATATGTTAAGTCAATGAAGTTTTATATATTTTTTACAATAATTTTAAGCTTTTCAAATATTTGAATATTTTTGAGAGAAAAACGATATGGACAACGATATTGAATGACATCGAGGTTGTTATTAATAAGTTTAGACGACGCACGTAATACGATCTCCCAATCGTAATTGGCTCTCTCATTCATAAACTGGCTACAAGAGTAGTAAAGTCTATTTCTTTAACTTTAATCGAATAAACTTTTAATATATTTTTTATGAAGTAATTTACAATATTCCCCCATGTGCCTAGGCCCAATTTTATCAGTGCCGGTGAAATCTTTTTCGCGCCCACTCTTCCTTTTCTCTTTATTTTGTTTATCGTTACTATAATTATTGCAATTATATTTGCTTACATGCATACTATAAACTGTGGCTTGCGACAAGCACGTGATTTGCAATGCCTATAATTATTGATAAAGTTTCGCAAAATAACTACATATATAGTTTCCAATTATTTCCCGCGAATAATCAAAAGCGATTATCATATAAATACACGAATGTACATACAAATATATATAACTACATCTTTTCGCACAACCCTGTAGGAAAATTTCGCGCTCCGAGTATCAGAATGGAAACGTTAAGACACAAAGTCAATGGTATGGAGCGGAAATGGGTCCTTATTGCTCGAAAACTATCAAATTTTAGCCAATGGAGACTTTGTAAGACAAAAGTCTCCACTTCCTCGTCGACGTATTATGAATAAGAGAAGAAATTAGAACTAAAATTTTCATTGAGCTTTTTAAACCTATTCATGCAAAAAGCACAGCTTTTAGCTATATTCGCCATTAAATTTTATTACGAGATTTGCCTTTTTTTAGAAAACTTCCTTATTATTTGCATATTTTTTTGTGCCGCAAATACTTACATATTTTCTTTTAAAGTTTACAGTGGATTCAGAGCAAACCAATCCTTCCAAAGAGTATAGCCTGGTCACAGGGCCCAGACAGACTCTAACGACAGATATAAATACAAAGACAAAGGCAAAGCAACAACAAAGACAAATGTAATGTAATGTAAAAATACAGACAAAGATTAAGATTGGGATCTGGAGTCTATATCGAAAGTAAAGGGGACCATCTTCGCTTCACTTTTGGGGCACATGACTCGGTATCTCAAGCGGAGGTATTAGCAATCCTCATGGCCATGAACTACGTTGTGGAAAATAGGTGGAGAAACAGGAGTTTACGTGTCTGGAGTGATAAATAGCCAAGCTGCACTCAAGGCATTAGCCAGCCCTCCAACTATTTCCAAACTACTTCGGCAATGCAAGTCTCGACTAAATTATGTTGAAAAAAAAAAACATAAGAAACTT